TTGCAAATAAAGCTTCTATAAACAATTGTGTGCCAGTTTTTGTGTAGTCATAAGTTTTCACCTCCTTTGCATAAATATCAAGGAGCATGACTGCTGGATTATATTGTAAAAATGTATTTATTTCTCTTAAAAATAAAGATAACCCAAATGATCTTTCAGAGTGGCTGTATCATTTTACATGCCCAGGAATGAGAGTTCCTGTTGTTTGTTTTGTTTTTGTTTTTGTTTTTTGAGACAGGGTCTCACTATATACTTCAGGATGTCCTTGAACTCATGTGTAGCCCAGAGGCCTCAGCCTCCCGAGTGCTGGGATTACAGGTGTGCACTACCACACCTGGCTGCTGCGGTTCTACATTTTCACCAGTATTAAGTGTTGTCAGTACTGTAGATTTTGGTCATGTTAATAGATGTATAGTGATATTTTATTGTTTTAATTTGCATTTCCTTGATGTGTTATGGACCATCTTTTTCATTTTCAGTTTTTTGTTTGTTTTGTTTTAATACTAGGAATTGAAGCCAGAGACTTCACACTAAGCTACATCTCCAGCCCATTTCTTAATTATTATTATTTTTAATTGAGACAAGATCTCACTAAATTGCCTATGCTGGGCTCAAATTGCAGTCTTTCTGCCTCAGTATCTCAATGTATTGTGATTATAGCCATGAGCCACCATGCCTAGCTGGACTGTACTTTTATGTTTACTTTCCATCTATGTATCTTCTTTGATAAGGTGTCTGTTATGATCTTTGTCCCACTTTTTTAATCTGATAGTTTTCTTATTGTTGAGCTTTAATAGTCCTTTATAGATTATTCTTTTATCAGGTATTTCTTTTATAAATATTTTCTCCTGGATCGAATTTGGGACCTTCTGCTTGCAAGGCAGGTGGCAGCACCACTAAGCTAAATCCCTGGCTCTTTTCCTTTTCATTTTAATAGAATCTAGTTCATCAATTATTTGTTTCATGGACTGTGCCTTCAGTGTCATATTTAAAATGTTGTTGTCCCAGCACCCAGAAGGAAGCTCCCCCACCGCCATCCCATGCTCCTAGGGCAGAGAAGGTGAGCTGCGCAGGCACCAGAAGCACCCCCACACACACTGTGGAAATGAGAAGACACGTAAATAAGCCTCAAAAACAGACTTCCAGATCACCTACAGCAACCCCAAAGGGAAACGAGATGGAGCAATCTGATGCTCAACCACCTGGACTCTCTGAACTGGCAACAAAAGAGGATCTGGGAAAAATGAAATCAGAAATAATTACTCAGATAACAGCAAAGATTGTGCTCATAGTGCAAGACATGATTAATAAATCTAGAGAGGACACAGATAAAATGTTGTAGCCAGGGTCATTGGGGTTTTCTTCTATATTATCTTCTAGGACTTTTGCAATTTTGAATTTTACATTTAGGCCTTTAATCAATTTTGAGTTAATTTCTATGAAGGATGTGCCTAGATTTTTTTTTGCTTGTGAATATTTATTTCTTCCAGTACAATTTGTTGAAATGACAATCTTTGCTTCATTGTATTACTTTTGCTCATTTGTCAAATATCAGTTGAATGTATATGTGGTCTTGTGTGGATCTATTTTTGAGTACTCTACTATGTTCCATTGATAAATTTTTGTATTACTAATACCACACTTAATTACTGTAGCTTCACAGTCTGACATTAATTTTTAAATTGTAATTAATGAATGTTAATTGCATATATCAATGAAGTTCAGTGTGATATTTTCACACATGCATGCAGCATGCACTAAGATTCAACCTCCCTTTACTACCCCCAAAACAACTCCCCCTACATCCTTTCCCATCTCTAGTAGTCACTAGTTTACTTTGAGATTGATTTTTTTTTTAAGCTTTCACATATGGCAGAGAACATGTGGCTCTTGTCTTTCTGTGTCTGGCTTATATCACCTAGAATAACATCCTTCAGTTCTATCCATTTTGGTGCTAATAACAGTTTCATGTTTCTCAATGGCTAAATAATACTCTGTTGTCTATAAACACATTTTCTTCATTTCTTTATTGATGGGCATCTAGACTGATTCCACATCTTAGTTTTTGTGAATATTGCTGCAATAAACATGGGCATACAAGTTAGTTTCATTTGGATACATACCCACAATTACAACAGCTGGATCACATGTTAGTTCTATTGTTAGTTTTTGAGGAACCTCCATTATGTCTTCAGTGATTGTGCTAATTTACAGTCTGTTAAGAGTGTACCAGGGTTCCTTTTTCTCCACATTCCTGCCAGTATTTTTCTTTTGTTTTGTTGTCTTTTTGATAGTGGCCAATCTAACTCAGATGAGACAGTATCTCATTGTAGATTTGATTTGCATTTTCCTGATAACTAATGATATTCAGAATTTTTTCAGATATTTAATGTCCACTTGTGTTTTTTTTCTTTTGAGAAATATTTATACAGATCATTTACCCATTTTTTAGTTAAATTGCTTTCTTTTGTTCGTATTGTTTTTGGTGTTAAGTTCTTTGAATTCCTCATACAGTCTAGATATTAATTCTGTCAGATAAACAATTGGCAAATATTTTCTTCCAGATTGTAGGTTGTCTGTTCATTGTTTCCTTTGCTGTGCAGAAGCTTTTTAGTTTGTTGTAATACCATTTGACAATTGTTGGTTTTGTTTCCTGTACTTTGGGGGCCCTATTCGGAAAATAATTGCCTGTGCCAATAACTTGCAGTGTTTCTCTATATTTTCATCAAGTAGTTTCAGAGTTTTAGATCTTACACTTAAGTCTCTGATGTATCTTGATTGATTTTTGCACAGGATGAGAGATAGGGGTCAAGTTTCAGCCTTCTGCATGTAGAAATTTTCCCAGCATCGTTTACTGAATAGGCTCCTTTCTCCAATGTATGTTTTGGTTCCTTTATTGAGAATCAGTTGGCAATAGATGTGTGGGTTCACTTCTTGAATCTCTGTTCTATTTCACTGGCCTATGTGTCTGTTTTTCTGCCAATATCATGCTGCTTTGGTGACTATGGTTTTGTAGGGTAAATCTAGCCTCATAAAATGTGTTTGTATGGTTGCTTTCCTTTCAATTCTTTGGAATTGTTTTACAATAATTGACATTATCTCTTTTTAAGAGTCTGGTAAAACTCACCAGTAAATCCATTCATACCTGATGTTTTCTTTATTTGGGAGACTGTATTATTGATTCGGTGTCATTACTTGTTATTGGTCTATTCAAATTTATTTTATTGATGATTCAATTTTTGGAGGTCACATTCGTCCAAAATTTTAATTTCTTTTGATTTTCCAATATTTTAGTATATAACTTCTCGTAACAGTTCCTTTGTGTTTCTGTGGTAATGAGTGTAATATCTCCTCTTTCGTTTCTAATTTTATTTATTTGGTTCTTTTTTTCTTAGTCAAGCTAAAGATTTTCTTTTTTATCATTTCAAGAATCAACTGTTTTCAGATTGTTTCATTAATCTTTTGCATTTTTTAGTCTCCATTTCATTTATTTATGCTCTAATCATTGTTACTTTTGTCATTCTACTAACTTGGGGTTCTATTTATTCCTGCTTTATTAATTCCTTGAGATGCCTCGTGAGGTGGTTTGATTGAATTTTAAAATTTTTTATGTAGGCACTTATTGATAAAAACTAAGAAGTAGCACTGCTTTTGCTATATTTAAGATTCAGAATGCTTAGTTTACATTTTCATTTTTGATGAATTTTTTAATTTCCCTTTTGATGTCTTTAGTGACTCATCATTCACTCAGAATTATGTTGTTCAGGCTGAGGATTTAGCTCAGTGGTTCCGCCACCTGCCTCATAAGCGCAGGGTCCCAAGTTTGATCCCTGGTACCAAAAAAAAATATGTTGTTCAATCTCTCTCTGTGTAATTTCTAAAATTTATTTTATTGTTGATCTCTAGCTTTATCCTACTTTGATCTGAAAATATACAGGATATAATTTCAATTTTTTGAAATTGTTAAGACTTATTTTGTCCCCTAACATATGGTCTATTCTAGAGAAAGTTCCGTGTACTGATGAGAACAATATGTATTCTAAAACTATTGAATGGAATAATCTGTAAATTTCCATTAAGCATGTTTGGCCTATATAATAATTTAATTAGGATGTTTCTTTGTTGATTTTATTTTAATCTGGATAATTTGCCCATTGATGAAAGTTAAGTATGGAAGTCTCCTATTATTATTGTATTGCAGCCTATCTCTCTTTTTCATTCTCTTAATATTTGCTTTATGATACTGAGTACTCCAAAATTAAGTGCATATACTTTACAATCATTGTCTCTTTTTGTTGAATTGATCCCTTGGTCATTATATGAGGATCTTCTTTGTCTTAACACTTTTTTTTGTCTTACAGTCTATTTCGTCAGTTACAAGTATAGCTACTACTGCTCACTTTATATTTCTATATACTTGGAATATCATTACCCTTTCAGTGTATAGGCTTACTAGTGAAATGACTTTCTTGTAGGCAGATTTTCTTACATTATTGGGTCATGTTTCTTAATCCATTCAGCCAGTCTATATCTTTTATTGAGAAAAGATGGTCCATTTACATTCAAGTTTATCATTAATAGGTGAATATTCCTCTCATTTTCTTGATTGTCTTTTATTTGTCTTGAATGTTTTCTTTCTCTTATTCATCTTTGTGATTTGATGGTGTACTGTATTGATAATCTTTGACTCTTTCCCATTTGTGGATTTTGTTTGTTTGTTTGTTTTACAGTACTGGGGACTGAATGCAGCCCTTTATATTGAGCTTCCTTCTCAACTACACCCCTCCATTTTAATTTTTTTTTTTTTTTTTTTTTTTTTTTGACAAGGTCTCACTAAGGCCCTAGGTTGCCCTGGCTGAGATTGAACTTGTGATCTTCCTGACTCAGCCTTCTAGAGTGTTAGAATTACATGACTGACTCCTTACGGCATCCCTTCCTCAGCTCGGCTGCAGGGGCTCCCCCTCGGCCCCCACCGGCAGATTCTCGCTGCGTCCGCGGCCCGCGGCCGCCATGCAGTTTATGTTGCTTTTTAGTCGTCGGGGAAAGCTTCGACTGCAGAAATGGTATGTCCCACTGTCAGACAAAGAGAAGAAAAAGATCACAAGAGAACTTGTTCAAACCGTTTTAGCAAGGAAACCTAAAATGTGCAGCTTCCTTGAGTGGCGAGATCTGAAGATTGTTTACAGAAGATATGCTAGTCTGTATTTTTGCTGTGCTATTGAGGATCAGGACAATGAATTAATTACCCTAGAAATAATTCATCGTTACGTGGAATTACTTGACAAGTGTTTCGGCAGTGTGTGTGAACTTGATATCTTTAATTTTGAGAAGGCTTATTTTATTTTGGATGAATTTCTTTTGGGAGGGGAAGTTCAGGAAACATCCAAGAAAAATGTCCTTAAAGCAATTGAACAGGCCGATCTCCTGCAGGAGGAAGCTGAAACCCCACGTAGTGTTCTTGAAGAAATTGGACTGACATAACTCTCCTCCCTTGTTGCTGACTCCTGTGGCATTTCACACACTGTAGATGGTCACTGCCTTCATGTCCATGTTAGCCAATGGTGTAAGATGATGGATGTCTTGTCAGTATTACTGCTTTGCTAAGCTGCTTCATTCAGACCCATACAATTTTTTTTAAGGGAATTTTGGTTAATCAAATGATAAGGGACTTCATATAAATATGAATTAGAAAGATACCTCTTCTGGGTATTTTAAAAGGTTTATAGGTCAGTTTCTCAATGATTATGTGCATATATGAAAATGATACATCTATATACATGTATATCAAACAGTTTGACAATATGCATTTATTAATTACTGTATTTGACAAAGGAAACTTAAATTATAGTGTGAAACTTGGTTTTATGAAACCAAAGACTGGTGCAGCATTTTATTATATATAATACAAATAAAGGGAATTAACATGTCACAAGGAATGAAAATTTAATGTTGAAACTTTAACAAAAAAACAAGAACAAAAAAAATCAAGAAAAAATTTATACCGAAGACCCCTATTGGACTCTACATACTTTAAAACAAAGGGAATAGAGACTATTTTAGATGGGTAAATTGGGTTGATACTGTTTTACACTGAAACTATGTCCTAAACATTCTGAGTAAACAGGACAAGGGACAAAGACTGCTTCGTGTTAGTGAGCACATAATTTTTAAGGCCAAGGCACATTTGACTCCTGAGATGAATTTTTTGTGGTCCTAATCAGTTATTTGGTTGGATTGTTTTTGATGCCCCCAAATAAAGTGGGGATGTAAAATGACCACAGATTTTCCATAACAGTATCTTACAGAAACATCTTGCTTTCTTCAGTATTGCATAAAGCCATTGTTCAAAGCAGGAATATTCCTTCTGGAGTGCTTGTTAAAGCCAAATTTATTTTGCTTCATTCCAATTAGAAGTGCTGCAAACTTCACAGTAGCTTCCTTTCCTTCCATGGCTCTGCCTAGTTATCAGAAGTCTTATAAAAATTTTTAAAAGACACATTTCATATAACAAAGTGAACATGAATGAAGTAAAATGGCATTAGTTGGTCCTATATTTTTAAAAGTTATATAACTGTTCAGCATCACTTTTATACATTGTTGTACATATCTAAACATTGTGTTTATGGTTTACACTTTCACTTGTATATGCTAGGCTGGATTAAGCTTTGTTGTGATTGTGACCAACATTCAGGCCGTGTGAGCACTGTCTTATCACATCGCCAATTAGTTGTAATAAATGTTCAACTTACAAACACTGTAGTGTGTTTTTATCTCTTTCCAAAATTTGTCAAACTGGAGCGCTGCTGAAGGAAGATTTTTTTTTCCAGTAAAATGTTGGAAATTCCTCTCCACTTGACTCCCCCCACCTTTTGAGTGTAGTGGTGGGTTATAAGCACACACAAGAAAAACAGGAGATGGTTCAAGGAATCTTGTACTTCAAATTCAATATTAAAAATACGTGGATTCCATGCTACCAACAACTTACACATTTATTTTCAATCAATAAATGCCACTTTAAAAACCTTGAAAAAAAAAAAATTACATGACTGAGCCACCATACCCAGCTCCAATTTGTCGTTTGTGTAGTAGTCTTCTAGTGTGATTTGCACATTCATGTGCTTTCATGATAAATACTAGTTATTTTTCTTTTTCTTCTGAGTGTAGGACTGCCTTAATCATGTTTTCCTTTTTTTTTTTTTTTTTTTGGTACTGGGGATCGAACATGGGACCTTCTGCTTGCAAGGCAGGCAGTGAAACCACTGAGCTAAATCCCCAACCCCCCTAGTCATATTTTATAAGGCTGGTCTGGAGGTCATGAATTGCCTCACTTTTGCTTGTCTTGTAAAGTCTTTGTTTCTCCTTCATTTCTGACTGATAAATTTAGTGGATATAGTATTGTTGATTTGCAGTTATTTTCTTTCAGAATTTGGAATATAATACAGTGATACCTTGATTGACAAACTTGATTCTTTCCATGATTCTGGTTGACAAACAAGCTGGATGAGAACCAAATCAAATTCATCAGTTAGTTTCAATGTTGACCTCATGGAAAATTTTGATTCAGTTCCTGTCCAGTTCAATTTACAACCAGAATCATGGAAAGAATTGAGTTTGTGAACTGAAGTACCATTGTACTTTATTCTCTCCTAGCCTGTAAGGGTTCTGCTGAGAAATCTGCTGTCGGTTCCATGGGACTATCACTAAAAATGACTTTGTACTTTTTCCATATTTTAGAATTTTTTGTTTTGTACAGTGTCACTGTAATATTCTGTGATAAAAATCTTTTCTGGTCATGTCTATTTGGGATATAATAAGTCTTCTGTACTTGAATGCCCATATCTTTTCCAAGATTAGGCAAGTTCTCTGCTATTAGTTCACTGAATAGAGTTTATATGTCTTTAATATTTTGCTTCTTTTCCTCAAGTATTCTGAAAATACAGATGCTGTTATTTTTCTAGTTCTCTAAAGGTGTTAAATGCTGTCTTTATTCTCTCTTTATAAACTTTATTTCAATATAATGCAAGTAGACATTAACAAAGAAAATGTTTTTAAATAGTCTTCTCTGAAAAAATAAAGCAAAATCTTATCACAAATTAATTAAAGAATAACAGTAGTTAATACACTGTGTACCATAATCTTAAAAGAATGGTCAAAATGCTAGAGTACAAGTCAAAGAAAGACAAAGACACATACAAAAAAAGAACAGGTAATAGCACAAAACTTTCTTTTCAATGAACTAAGAGGACCCTAAGACCTGTCTTTATTCTTCCTTAGTTTTTTTTTCTTTTTGTCATGTTTCCAAAGACCTGTATTCAATTTCAGGTATTCTTTCTTCTGTGCGATTCAGTCTGTTATTTAGGCTTTCAACTGTATTTTTATTTGACCTATTGAGCTCTTCATTGCTGAAATTTCTGTTCAGGTTTTTTGTCAAAATCTCATTTTGATGATTTTCTCATTTGTATCCTACCTATGTTGTCATCTTAATTTCATGTAACTGTATATACTGTCTTGGTTATTATCGAGCTGTTATATAATCATTCTTTTGGGTTCTTAAAAGGCATTTTTACCCATCAATTTCTTTGGAATCTGCTGCTGCAGAGTTATTATGTTCTTTTGGAGGCATCACATTACCTTGCTTTTCTTGTGACATTTGTGCATCTGGTGCATCAGCTATTTCTATCACTTTATTGAGTAGAATTGTTAGTAAGCTGCTTTTTCCTGAAAATGTCTGTCAGGACATAGGTTTGTTATGAAATTTTGGCTCCGTTTCTTTCTAGGCACCATACTATTGTCTCCCTATATCTTCTTTGGCAGTCATTAATGACTTTGGGCACAGTGCATACCATGATGAACTTGAAGATACTCGGTCTTTGCAGGCCGTGCAAGAATGCTAACAAGCTAGCAGTTCAGGTGGGTATAGTACATGTACAGTGAATGTGGGGAACTCAACTTTGTGATTACTTTTACAATGGGAATGGTGGCCCCTATTTGCGATGTGTGAATCCACATACACGGTTGATGCTAGCTCTGCTACTAGCAAGGACTTCTGGCACTGGAAATCCCAGCAATGGTGAGGGTCCTGAAAGCACTTGTATCCTGACTAATCAGTGGTATGGGGCCAGATGCTGCATGGTAAGAGTGGGTGGCAGAAACAGCGGCATCCCTCTGTGGAACTCATACCATGTCCTGACAGCAGTGCGTGATCAGCCAAGGTATGGGTACAAGGCAACAGTGGGAACTGCCTAGGTGGAGGCTTGTAGGTCAGAAGCCAGCACATGCCCAGGAATGGGGCTTTAGCTGGCACTGAGCAATGTTTCCTTCAGTCCTCTTTGGTGTGCATACTCAGGGGTCGGGCAACTATTAAAGCTAGAACTCTTCCCTCCTCAACTCATTCAGCCGCATTGCACACCCAAAGATGCACCCTTGGACTCAGAAGGCAAGCTGCATGATGCTCTAGTTGTCAAGGGCAATGCAACCTATTTCCCTCTGTGTCGCACATGTCTCCTACAGTGCACCACACCTATTGGGCTTTGGTTACAGTCACACTGGACAATGTTGGGTTTACAAGCTGGCTACCCCCAAATCCAGAGCAGTGGAATGTCAGTGGGGCCAAACACCGGAAGAAGCAGGGGTTTCTGACCCCCAGCATGGTCCAAATTCAGACCGTACCTCACTTCTCATGATGGCTCCTGGCTACTGTACACTGTGGCTTATTAGGAGATGATGTAAGATTCTTTTCCAAAGCAAATCTGTTGTGCACATTTCTAGTGACTTATCTAAGTGGGCTAAAAGTTTGTGAGGATTGTGAAACGTTGCAGTATTGCCAGTGTCTGTACTGATAGCATTTTCTAGGACTCTCTTTCAGTCCTACACCTGCAAAGGGGAGACTCCTTTCTCCTAACTGTGAGGCCTGGGTAGCAGATGCTGGAGTATTTTGTTTCTCTCATTATGTTATTATCAAAGATCTCTGAGTCTTACAACACACCAGTCTCTCTCTTGCTGATTTTCAGTGTTTTCTCGTGGTCAGTCATGGCAAAATGTAGCTACATGCTTTTTACTATGGTTCCTCTTTGTGGAGGGGGAGTTAAATACTGTGTATCTTTTTAGCCATCTTGGATGTCCTAAAGTAAATCTTAAAGTCAATCTTCTGACCTCTTTTTTTTTTTCTATAATTTGTTCTTTACTCTTGCTTCTCTACTGTGGAATCAGTTTGTTGATATCCATGATATATAATATACTGGGATTTTAACTGGGATTGAATTAAATCCACAGACCAAATTGGGAAGACTGGTATCTTAACAATATGGTTTCCCTATTTATGAACATGGAATATGTATTTACTTTGCTCTTCCTTAATTTCTTTTATGAGTTTTATGATTTTCATTATATAGATTTTATATACACTTACCAAAATTTATACATAAATATTTCATTTTTAGGGTGCTAATAATATAAGCTGTGTTTTTATTGTGCATATATACACAAAATCAGTTGACTTTTCTATGCTAACTTTTTATCCTTCAACCTGGCTATAATCACTTATTAGGTATATCATTTTTGTCTATTTGTTCAGATTTTCTATATA